AACCCTTCGTAAGCTACGAACGTTTTGGTTCGCATTACGAACCTATAGTTCGTAAGAAATTTACAGCAAACTGATTTAGAATATACCTCATGGTTTTCTGAACAGAAAATAATCAAAAACGCCCCAAAAACTGCAGTTTAGAGGTTCAGCACCCCTTAAACAGCTTTCTAGGAGGTAACTCGTCAAAGTAGAAGCCGTAGGTCGAAAATTTCGTCAAGTTGGCTCTATTACTAACCGTTTAGACACCAGAGGGCGATTTTCACACGGAAATGACCCCAAAACATTTAAAAAAAAAATTCTCAGGTATTTGATGGTCTGCAGCGGGGTTACTCGTCAAAATAAAATCCCAAGGAGCAAAACTTGTGACCATTGTGGCCGAAGGTCTATTAACGACTCTACTTTTTAACCGACTCGGGTGTCAGCGCCGCAGGCCTAGGTACAGTGGACTCTCGATAACTGTCACCTCGATAACTGTCGCCTCGATAACTGTCGCGTGCGAGAGATATAGCTATAGAAAAATAGCGCGTTCCATGCGGACTGACTGCCGGGTCCGGCGGCTCGCCCGACTCGTCCGCCGGAGGAGTGGGGAGAGCGGAGCACGGCAGCAGCGAACGCACAGTACCCTTTACTCGCGGCGACAGTTATCGAGAGTCAACTGTAGATGTATACCAGGCGCGTTTCAGCGTAACAGTGTTTCGTGAGATATCGCGAAGCATGTTACGCGAAACGTGATCTGGCGTACATCTACCCAGTTAAAGAGTTGCGAAACTCAGCTTATGAAGTTTGACGAGTCTATATATTTGGAATGGTTTACGCGTTCACGTAAGTAAGTAGGAGATTGGGGAGCGGGGAGCTTCGGGAGAAATGTGGGTTTAACTTGTCAAAAGAAAAAGAAATAGGTTTATGCTCCAAGCCGAACGGAATCGAAATGGCAGAATTATTCCCCTCAAAATGACAGTTTGGTCGTTTCTTACACTTTTGTCAGTTTGAGGGCTAATAGTCTTTTCATTTCGACTCTGATCGGCTCTTTAGCATAAGAGATCTGCGATAATATTTTTAATTTGATAACTTTTTCAAAATTCTGATATTTCATTGGAAGACAAAATCATGGTATTCACTCGTCGAATGTCTAGTAGTTATTTTATCGTACAAAAAAACAACTTGAAAGGTTTCTTAAACTCACAACTTATTTTATTAACAGCTAAATGCACTTGCAAGGGACCCAACAAAATTAGAGCCACAGTCGCAACTTAGTGTAGGATAGGCCGTTCAATATTAGAACGAGATATATGATTCTCTTATATTGACTAGATTTTTCGAGAGCCATATTATTTCTAGTGATACTGAACCTCATCAACTTATTTATGAATTTAAATTTAATTGTGTGATAAGATATATTACAGAACTTTCAATTAATAAACTACAATGACTCGTTATCCTCAAAACGCCTCAAAAGGAACAGGTGAAAGGGAATCCAAGAATGAAAAAATATATTTTGAGTATGGGAGGTGTTTCAACACATTTAGAGATACTAATAAGAATTATTTTATATAATTTAACTTCATCCAGAGCAAAGTGAGGGTATTGAATAGAATTTCTCTAGCTGATTGTGACAAGGGTTTTGCTTTTTTACCCAGAGTTATGCGAAATTTGTTTGTTCTACTGTTGTTTGATACACGGTAAGTTGAATCTGCTAACAGTATTCATTTGTAGAGGTCGAAAGTCATCACACTAGCACTCCCAATTACTTAGAACTAAAAGTGACATCGAAAAATCAATAACAAAACCTTCAAACTGGTACTTTACTTCAAACTGATTACTATATTGATTTTGAGTGTCATTTTTGTTTTGTTTTGATCATTTTTAAACATTTGAGTGCCCCCCTCCCCCTTCTCGTTCTTCCCTGGCCTTCCATTTGTACATTACTATATGCCTTTAACCGTTACATTTGAGAATTGTAGCACACTAACGACTAAAGCTCAGCCACTACGGGCTGCTTCACGTATTCCTACGTTACCTTCAATGCAAAACACAGAAATCCTTCCTTATTTTTTTAGAATATTTTTAATTACACCTTTGTTGGGGAGGTATTTGCGTTACATTTTCTACCCTACTTTGACGAGCACATTGGTAAAAGAGTACCACGCCCGCAATGCGTTTCCCGCACTACTCAGGGTAAGCGGACCCAGTCCCTTGAAAGAGAGGCACGCTGGTCTTCCCGCTGCCAGCAGAACGAGTTGGAGAGCTTGTCGCACCGGCACCGTCTCCTCGCCTCTCACCGTCATGGCAGCCTAGACAAAAGACGGGGCACTGCAATGTGTATCGTTCTTGCATAAAAAAACAAAAAAACAGTTGAAGTTAATACTTTTCATTCCATTGAGGGGCTGTTCACTGTCAAAAGCATGGGCTCTACCCAACGCACCAACATATCTCAATCAGAAAAGGCATTTGAAGGTACTCTCAGATGATAATTAGGGATAGATAACCAGGGAAACCCAAGGAAAATTCAGGAAAACCGGGAAGCCTACATCATGTATACACCGGCAGACCACGTTGGGGACACCTCGTAAGAAACTCACCTTGTGCGTCATTGTTTGTGCAGTCCCAAGCGACTCCGGCTGGTTGAAGCTCCCATCTCAGAGAGACGGGTGGGGTGACGGTTGCGCGACTCAGTAGTGAAAAGAACGGCCTATAGATGGCACCTTGCCCGGTTTTCCTGCGACGTACTATT